CGGCTTGCTATTAAAGGAGATCATTCGATTGTTGGGGTTGATAGTTTAGAATCTAAACTAAACTAATAAACATAAAACATCAGGTGAGGGCAAGGCAAGGCAAGGCAAATTTATTTGTATAGCACAATTCAACAACAAGGTGATTCAAAGTGCTTTACAGAGACATTAGAAACAAAAACAAATAAAAAGCATGATTTAAAATTGATTAAAACAAGCAAACAAACAAACTAACTAAACACACACATTTCACACCTGTTCGCGCGATCTGAACCCTTATCGTAAGGGGAGCTACCAGTCCTTCTGTGGACGAGCTACTTTCTATTTTAAATTCCCTGAATTTAAATACTCTCTAGACCCAGTCTAGACCCAGTTGGGTTCACATAGTAGGGAGCACTACAAAAATTACAAATAAAAACATGTAATTGGCAGCAAATCAAAAATAAGAAAAATAAAAAATTGAAAAATATCTCTTACTGCTCTGTTTATTTCCTTAAATGAACACTTGTACTTTTTGTCATAGAAGAATAAGAATATTAATATGAATATGAGCCGAGAGATATAATCTCTCCAGCCTGTCTTGGGTCTGCCCCGGGGCCAAATGCCTGGTGGCACCCTTGCCTCCATGGGCACCTTAACTCATCACTTTGGCGCCGAGAATGTATTTTATGAACTAATATTAGTAGGCTGAAGCCTTTTATTTCAGCTGTGATTGTTTTTGTTAAGATACATATTAATATGTTTTTTAAGGATCAAGATGTGGGTTTGTTTTTCCAGCTTCATTAACAGTTGTTTTTTCAGAGATCAGATGTCCTCACAGGACAACATATACAAAAATATGATTTTACAGAATATGATGCATTGGTGTGGATTAAACAGTGTAATAGTTTTGATATTTACCTTAAAGAGCAGTAACGTTAATCAATATTGCACAGATAGAGAAAATCAGCAAAGTTATTGGCTTTAGTTTTGATATTTTGCCAGTAAAACAGTTTTATGTCTCCCGAGGTCTTTTCATTGTTTTATTGTTTCTTTTGCTAAAGAAAAAAATCCCTGCCATTCCTCATTGTTAGCTAATCATGAATCCATCACTGGATCACACCCAATTGCTAGCACAATAATCATGTTTAAGGTTGTGAGCTGGTGTCTGATTTGTGTTTTCGTTAAATAAAAGACATCATCTGCACAAATGAATGCAGAACAACTTCATCAGAAAACAGAAAACTAAGTGTCTGATGCTAAAATACCACATATGTTCCCTCCTATAACAAAAATTTAAAACTAAGGATTATTTACAGTATCATATTTTTTATCAGATATGTTCTTATTAGTTAGTCTTAGTCTTATTAATGACAACCAAAAAAAACTGGTTCACTCACACCTTAGACCGATGTTGGACAACATGCCTCCGTCTAATGTTAAGTCAGTCTTTGCATTTTTTCCAGGTAACTCCCACAGGCATGACATGATGATTAAAGCTCTGTCATGTGTATTATGTGCTCTCCAGCAAGATAAATTCATGTTTTTTATATAGTTTAACAAAACTCTTTGCAACACAGGGTATAGAGGCCTGTTGATTCAAACAGGTTTGTTTAGATGGACCTTTTTTGAGTGCATGTTTTGTATGATAAGTTTTAATCTAAATAAACACTTTAATTAGTAGCTTTAAATAACAGTCATCATACCCTGCAGAATTAGAGACGGAGCAGCCGGGCTATGTAAAAAGCGTAAAGGGGCATGTTCGCGGTCATGTCCAGAGACGCTCCACCACACTTTACTACTGAGCAGACTCTGGCTCCAAAAGTGGAACATGGCAGCGCCCACAAGCGGGATATTTTGGCTTCATTTTCGCACAATGGGAGGAAGTGCTGTCACAGTGTTCATCTTTTATACAGTAACTGGTTAGGACCAATTAGCCAAACAGCAATCTTCTCCTTAAGAAATTTCAAAAATATACAAAATAATATATATAACTTCATAAGTCGACAAAAATAAAATCCAGAAATGTCGCTTTTCAGATTCATGATTCTTTCGGTTACATCATAAAGATGTTTCAAGTTCAAGTTTATACACTTAACCTTAAGTTGAGGTCTTTCATGTTTCTTTAACAAAAAAAATCCCTATTCAGAAATCTCTCTTCTATATGATGGTATGTGTGTGTGTAAATGTGCATGCGTGTCTGTGTGTGTACAACGGACCACACAGCAAGCATTTGTTTGGCCTGCTAATATGGCGCCTCGAGCAAAAATTCCGGCCACGCCCCATCCCTTAAGATCCCGCTCCAAAGTCCTGTTAACCTACGGAAAGAAGACGCTGCATTTTTAACTCTGAGGGAGATGGAGAATGAGCCTATTTCCAAAAAAAGTGGAGTGTGTTTCTTTAAGTACTATATTGTCAAAAACTAAAGTGTACACACACACACACACACGCACACACACACACATACCATCGAATGGAAGACAGATATCTGAATGAGGATTTTGTTTTTTGTTTTTGTTAAGGAGACATGAAAGACCCCAAGTGTACATAAACAGTTGTTGTATCTTGTTTACTGTATCACTGACAGATCATTTCAAAGTCAAGTTAATGCTACATTATACTGAGATATTTTGTAATGTGAAATACTGTAAGCAAATGAATAAACAACCTCATTCTTGCTAGACCTTTGACTGAGATGTACATAAAACATTGTTACTTTTATTATTATTATTATTATTACTATTATTATTATTTTATTAGAGACTTCAGGAACATAATTTTTTCCATATATGATGATGATCATGATGAATGAATTATGATCACATGGAAAAGATACCGTTTGTATGTTTAATAACATGAAATATGTTTAAATGTTTAAAGCCAGTGACAGGTACTCAGAGGTGCTCTCTGCTGCCCTCTAGGCCGAACAGACTGTCAAAACACTTTATTTGTATCTAACTATCATGCAGTTATAAGCATAGTAATTGTATAAAATGTGTGTAAAAATATAATTCTTTAAATACACTTACAAGGGAAACTGCAAAGTTTTCTGTTACTGTCTGATATTAATTGAATCTATGTACTATGTAGAGTACAGATCAGAGTAACATGCAGTACTGTAAGTGAAAGGCACTCTTGAGTTAAGAACACAGTATGGTATTTATTCCTCCCTCAGCTCCTTCCTCTCAGCTTGGCACCTATTCAGACACTCTTTGCACAGGAAGCTTTCTTTGACTAGGTAAAAGCTCTCTGAAATACTGACTGGTTTCTCAGTGGGTATCTTCTCAGCAATAATTGGATTCCTGTCCATCTTGATACTCTCCAGTTTTTTCAGCTTCAAGAGGCAGCTGGGGAGGTGGGTGAATCTGTTGTCAAAAAGGCCAATGTGGCGGAGGTCCTCCAGTGCACCAATGGAGGCAGGAAGAGCTTCCAGCTGGTTGAGACCCAGGTTCAGTGTTTGGAGTTTATTCAGGAGGCCGAGCTCGCTTGGGAGGCTTGTGAGACGGTTGTTGCACAGGTTTAAAACCTTAAGGTTCTGCAGGTAGCCGATAGCCACGGGGAGCTCCTCCAGCTAGAAACAATAACACATTTTTTAACAAATGGTGATTTTGGTGCACTAAACATGGACATAATTACAAAACATGGTACAATTTTGAAATGGGCAAACTACAGCTGCCAAAAGGCTAGTGACAGTTAGCGGGTCTCTAAGGTGTCCCCGTATGTTTGTGATTATTTAATGATTGGCTTTTGATGATTAGTACTTTAATCTAGAGGTTGTTGTTTTTTAATGGGCTTAATTTTAAATATTTGGAATATTTAATTATTTAAAATTATTTAAAATAGTGTGACACAACAACTGTGTAGCAGCCCCACAGTATTGCTGCTATACAGTAGCTACCATTTATTTACCTACTTTTAAAGAGTTGTTGTAAACATTAGACATTATCTGTCACACTCACATAATTGCTGTGCAAATCCAAAACAGTCATTTTGATGAACTGAGCAATAAAATCTGGAATTTTTCTGATCATGTTCCTGCTCAGGTCCACTTCATCCATGTGAAAGAGCTTCTGGATGCACTTTGGAACAGCTGTAATCCCCTTGAAAGTGAGATCCAGTCGGCGTTTACCATCCATTGTCAGCTCCACGCAGTTCTGGGCCATTTTCAAGGTGATCTTCTTACTTTTAGTTTTTCTTTTGGCTTTCGTTCCCTTGGCCATGCTGTTAGTCTGTAGTTAACCTTTTCCACTAATGCGCTGTGACGACAGAGTTGACCGTGGAGCCAGTCTGTGAGATCACGTTACCCAGGCAGCGGTAACTGTAGACAAAGTCAAGCTTTACCTTTCCTGTTAGATAAAATATGAGTAACCGTATCATTTGCTTTGTTCCATGACAACAATGCTAACATGACAACAGAAATCAGAAGACTTGCAGTAAGTTTAAACTTATGAACAGAAAACACTTTTGACTCCTTACCAGCATTAATGCCTCCTCACACCCAGTTCAAAACAGCAGGGAAGAGAAAAACAGAAGATACTTGACTATCTCTTTCCTCAGCCTAAGAATGTTGCCACACGTCCAACTGTCACTGCAAAGAGCTGTAAATAGATAAGCGGTCAGACTGCTGCTGTTTGACAGGTCAAAAATCACTATGCTGCATCATGGCTGTCTGTCAGCTGGGACTCACTTGGGTAAATGTGGCATTTGTTGTAATTTGTTCCCAGGCAACTGCTGTTTTGTCTGGTAGCTTTGGTTATAGCTATAGCTTTATAGCAATGAGCAGCCACCACTCACAGCAGGGCAGTTTGTTCTTTTAAAAATCTGTGTGAAGACATTTTAAAAAACAACAGCTTCAGTTTCCAGGGATTATCCTCTTTCAAATGAAGCTATGGAGGATTTCAGGTCCAAATTACTGATAACAATGAGCTGTTGATGCCTGTGTGACACCTACAAGTGTATGGTCAATTGTATTTTTTTGTAAAACATTTATTAATGTAAAAAGCCTTTTTTCATGGTGGTATTGCACTTTTCAGTTAAAGTTATGAAGACGTGATTGCGTGGCAACGCCACAAGGGAGAAGTAGTTGTGAGCGCGATAGGCCATTGCAACGCTTCTGTACCTCAGAGGAGGAAGAGCCTGCAGACCAAACGCAACTCATGTCTCCTGTCTCTACTTTTCTGTATAAAAACAGACCCCATGGAATACCTGTAACACCTGTAGCTGATTTGTCCATATTTTTGTTATTTATCTCACTGAAATGCAGCTCTGCCCAGTACTTTGTATTTGCCACTTTGTTTGAAATGAAGAACAAGTACTGCTGCCTACATAACAGCGAATGTATACATTTATACATGAATGTGAGTCCCACAGCCTAAGTAAACCAACTATACACGTACTGCTTACACTGCAAATGCTGGCAGCTAATGAGGCCATTCTTGCTTTATATCTGAAAAAACACCAAAACTCCCACTGCTCCACCAGACCTCAAAAGTTACTCAGTCTCATCTTTTCGTCATTTTTAATGTTTACATCATTAAAAAAGTTTCATTAATGATGGGAAACAAAATATCCCAAACTTCGCTCTGAAAAACAATGAAATGGATGTTGAAAAGGATAAATAAATAGTGCACAAGTCAAGAAATGTGATTCCATGCACTAGTGACGTGGAATAGAAATCTGACCTTTGACCTTTAATCATTTCCAGTCTTTCTCAAGCTTTGATGTGATTCTGCAGCCACACACTGATCTTTTTCCCACAAACACAGAGACTTTTGTCAACAATGAGTTTAAAGTGTCACATATTGCAGTTAAGAAGCATTACTCTGCATCATGCATTGCTGATGATGTACTTTTTCGATATGAATACCACACAATCTTACCAGCAGGTGGGGCTGTCTTCATACATATAAGTTCAAGATCACTTTGTTACTTTTACATTTAAAATAGTGGATTGACTTAATTATTTGCCCCATATTGTTCCATATTGATTTTGACCTGCTGGAAGCAGCCATCAGAAGATAGTTAACATGTGTTCATGAAAGACTGGAGATGTTCAGCAACAATAGGAGGGCTGTAAGATTTAAACAATAATCAGATGTGCCAAGAAGACAGGATGGATCCATGCTTTCATGGTTTTTTTTATGTGAAAATTCTGACCCCATCAATCTAATATCAGAGCTAAAAGTGAGACTAATCAGACTAGATAACTGTTTTTCAATCTTCTATTATCTAATATTGGTAAACCTGCAGAATCTTCCTCTTCTTTGGTGACAGAAGTGGCGTCCGGTGTGGTCTTCTGCAGCTGTCGCCGATCTGCTTCAAAGCTGGACCTGTTATGTATTCTGAGATGCTCTTCTGCATTGATTGTAACAAGCTACGTTTTCTTCCCATCAGCTTGAAGCAATCAAATCATTCTTATTTTACACAGAGAGCCACCGCTGGATATTGTCTCTTTTTCTAGTCTCTGTAAACTAGTGATGATGTCACGGCGAGTGGAGTGAGCCGTGTGGAGAAAATAAAGGAAGTTTAAAATAACTAATTATCTGTCCTGATTGGAGTAACCATCACTAGTCCAGCCGGCAAAGCAGGAGGAGAGGGTGGAGGGTTGGGTGCTTGCCCTTCTGACTCCATATTTTCTACTACTTGTTTGGGTTCTTCCCTGACGTCCATCTTACGGACAGAGTCGGTTTTATGCGGCGTTTTTGTCTGAACTCGTCCAGAAGAATGATAAAGTGATTCCGACTGGGATCCTGTGGCGCACATTCATAGGAGGTTTCGATCCTCTCAGACTGGGACTGACATATAACACAGAACTAAGTGGGAACAAGGTGTGACTTTCCAGTTACAATCAGTCAGTTTTAATGAACATATGATGCTTAGCCAAAGAATACAAAGGTTATTCGTTTTATAGAGAAGTCAAATACATGAAAAGTGCCGTATTTATAAACTAATTAAAACCAAACTGATAAATATGAAAAATTAAATCTAATTAATACATAAAACAATTAACTCTTTCATGACTTTACTGCATTTATAAAACTGCAGTAGTTCCTACTTTGTTATTACCCAGTTATACAGAATAAAGTTAACAGGTTTCAACTGTTGACCAGAATCATTTAAATATGTTACATGTTCATGTTCAAGAATCTTTGTTAATTATCATATATATAATATTTAATAACACTAACAAGGAACTTGTAATTTGATTTAATTCAACAAATATTCTTCACTTTTAGATCAGCAAGATCGTGAAGGACCTCAGCCATCCCAACAACAGACTGTTCTCTCTGTTGAGGTCAGGAAAGCGATTCGCTCCCTGAAGACCAACACAGAGAGACTGAGGAGGAGCTTCTTCCCACAGGCGATACGGTCTCTCAATCACACCACCACACAGTACTGACCCACACATATGGTTCTTACACACACACTGGACATTCTGGACTTTGTTTACACTAATTGATTAGATGCGTGGTCATCTAATTGAATCACTTCATCACTAAATCACTTTAAGCATATTTGCACTGCACAAGACACTTACAAATGTGGATTGCACAACACTGGACATTATATTTCTTCATTTCCACTTAATACTGTACAGCTGCTGTTATTGTATATATATATTTATATTTATATTTTATATATATATAGTATATATTTATATTTTATACATATATATTAACATATTAATTATATTTATATCATTTTATATCTTATTTTTAGTTAAATTTACATATTGTTATATTATTAATACTTGTACAGCTGCTGTTATTGTGTATATATTTATTTATATTTAATTTCTTCATACATTCTTATATAGTTCTATATTGTGTATTTTGTTGTACAGTTATTTTATTTTCAACTTTAATTTATATATTTTATCTTATTCTTTCCCAGTTAAATTTACCCTTCATTCTAATTTGTTGTTGTACAGTTATTTCATTTTTAACCTTAATTTTTATATTTTATTTCCTATCTTATTCATAGCCTTTCTTTCCTTTAGGTCACGAGCAGTTGTGTAAGCATTTCACTGCATATCATACTGTGTATGACTGTGTATGTGACAAATTTGAATTTGAAATTGATTTGAGCTTCAGCTCAACCAGTTACAACATTAACTGCTGACTTCTGTAATTTAATACCCCATTAAGCTGAACTATACTGCAAAGAGAAATATTGTACATTTATTTAACAGCAGTGGAATCAAGTTATTCTGCAGTTTCAGGTTTTACAGGGTTTCCTTTGACAAAGTAATATAATATGATACATTGTTAGAGATGAAATCATCCCAAAGTTTGATGAATCTGTACCAACAATGTGCTGTGTAAAGCTCACAGATTTATCCAAACACTGCAGATATATATTTTACAGTTTTTTCATGATGTGAATCACTCAGTTCACTGCTCCATCACGCAACGTCTCAATAATTCAAACTTTCTACACTTTGTGTTCAAGTTAAAGGACAAAGGGCATTCAGGGAAAATGTAGAAACACAAATTGTGGGGTTGAAGAGTCAAGTTTACTATTTAGATGTTCCACTGAATCAACCACAATGACTTAAAACTATCGATGTAATAATGTGATGGTTCAGTTCTATGTTGTAAAATGTTGTTTAAAAGTGATTTCTGGAGATTTCGATGTTCAATGGAGAAGTGAATGATGTCATGTTCTATAGAAAGTTACTGTTTAACTTAATGTGACCTCCTCAGGGATCCCAGGGCTGAAAGCTGTTGTTGGGCCCCCACTGAGCCCACAGTACATGTCAGATTCCTTATTCCTTTAATGACCAAATTATAAACGCAGACACAAAACTATCCTCAGAAACGTTCATGCTTGTTTTCTGCCTTGAGCAGTTTTGTGAGTTAGTGAATGTATTAAATATGTCTGATGCAGTATGCCAAAAAATCCATCATTTATTGAAGGAAACAGCTGTCAGATGTTGCTTTACTATTGTTTTAAAATCAGAATCAGAATCAGAATCAGAATACTTTATTGATCCCTGGGGGAAATTATTTTTTTTTGTTACAGTGCTCCATTTTAAACCAACATTAAGACAAGACAGACAATACACTAAC